AGGAGAGGTCTGCCACGCCATGTGGGTCACCTCCCATGCTGACTGGGGATCTAATGTGAGAAGACGCAGCTAGCTTCTTAGTATTGTGCTTTAACCTAGTGCACCACCAGGGAGGGCTCTATTTTTTTTCCCTGAACATCAAGAGCTAAGACTATGGGATTCAACTCCTATGGTCTTCCTCTAGGGTAAAGGGTTTGTGTGCTCTGTGGAGTATTTTTTAGAAAAGATTTGTCTATTTATGCATACAAGAACTGGGGTACAGGCTAGAGGTGGTGGTGAGAGGGTTCACCAGAGACAGAGTGGGGAGCATAACAAGCAGATCTACTGAAACACACTGATGGGGGAGCATTGGGTGAGAGAGGAGAGGTCTGCTGTGCCATGTGGGTCACCTCCCTGTTCAGGGATCGAACTGGTAGTGCATTGGCTGTGGACTGCTTCATAGTGCTGTGCTTTAACCTGTTGTGCCACCAGGGAGGGCCCTCTGTGGAGTATTTTTAATAAATAAGATTGACAAGGATAAAAAGAAAAGCAAAATATCAGAGATAGTGCCACAGAAAAAGGTAACAGACATAGGTGATCCCGGTAGTCACCAGTCTAGATGTCTGGACTCCTCTAGTCCCTGAATCCAAGAGGCATCAGGGTGTACCCTGGCAGGCTGAGTCAGTGGTGAGCCAGTAGGCTGGTGGGCTCTATGATAGCAGAGTATAACTCTCACCAAGATGAGGGCTTAGAACACAGACCTAGGTGCTAGCTGACTGCAACAAATGAGTATGGACCCTCTCCTCATCCCCTCTTCCATCAGGATGCATAAAGTTTCTTCCTAACATTCTTTTTAAACTGACTTGAAGAATAACAAAAGAGGAAGAGGAGGCCAACCTAGAAGCTGTCAAATCTCATAAAATGTTGAAAAATTGCTATTTAAATGGTCAACTTTGACCCAGATTTGGTTAACTATATTTGTCTAACAAATTTAACTCTCCACAAACTGTTAACCTAAATACCAATTACTTGCTAATTTGTATTTATAAACTGATATAGAATCCCAAACAAAACTGAAAGTAATATATTTAAGGACAAATTGAGTATCTTCCTTATCCTAGAGAAATTATAAATGAAGGCACTCTGACAATGGTAAAGCATTATGTAACATGATGGCTGTTGGTGCCCAACAGCAAAAGCAAGCAGATTCAGACCTTCCTCGGAAAGAACCCAGCCTTCCTAATGAATGATCTTGGATGAAGAGAAATGTAGAGGCTGGTGTGAAGACTTCTCTTCAGTCATTTTGCAGTTCAGCCTCCTGTGGGCAAGAAGGTGAGTGATCATCTTCTTTTTCGAAGGCACTGTGGTTTTCATCCTCCCAATAGCACCCCAGGCTCACTTTCTGTGGGAACCCAGATGACCCATGCAGAAGAACTAAAATCCTTCTTATCTCCAAGAGTGGGCTACAGATTTCAATGCCAGTATTGCGGTATCTCGGTAATTTTTCTAAAAGCATACTACATACAAAAAAAGGTTAGTAAGAATACACATTAAAAATCTCTGGATTGATGAGAGCACAGATGTGTTTCAGGAAGGAAAAAGTTAAGTAAACTTACATTGAAATAACTAGCTGGGTTTAAAGAGAAAAAATTCACTGAGCTATTGCATTTATGGAACAAAACATTCAACTCTATTAATAAAAAATTTAAAAATAAACTGCCAGGTTAATTGGATGTTTGAACATTCACTTATTTTTTTTCTCCCAGTTAACCAGTTGGAAGGAGTTTGGAATAATGTCCAGATTATCTAAAATGAGCAAAATGTGTTTTCTCTGAACAGCTCAGTTATGAGTTCAATTTGTCGCCTTATTACAGTTTTTAAAAATAATTTTGAAAGAAAAATGTCAAACTATCTTAGTCAATTGAGATAATGTATAAAATAATTAAGTCTATAGCTACAAAGCATATGAGGGTATTTGAGGCTCTCACCACCTTCTGTTCAGGAACCACCGTTCTGGAATCACCCTGGTTCTGGAAACTGCTGTTTCTACATGGGAAATACTCTTCACTCATTTTATTGTGGAAAAAAATGCTGTAAAAATAAAATTTTTAAAAATGCTTTCTCCAGTACCTGCTAAATTCCTTCAGAGATCATTGAACAAAACATAAAATATGTGTTTCTTACATTGAAATCTGATTTTTTAAAATTTCCTTTATCCATAACTCTTTGGAACATCTTTAGGCCATAACTCAACCCACTAAATAACCTCCTCTTTGTCTTCTTCCTCTTCCCCTCATTATCTTTCCCTGGGATATAAATCAGCAATTACTCCTACAACCAAGTCTGATGTCAAATTATGAGTGCCAGCAGTAATTTAATCCGCAAGAGATTGAGATATCAATAGTTAGCTTGGTGACAACAGCAAACCACAGAATTTGTTGCTTACTTATATTAATTCAATTTTCTCTCTCTCTGAACTAATTGGCTTCTTAACAAAAAAAATCTAACTACAATATTGATAAATTCCCAATGATAATATGAAACCTTTATTAAAATCTAAGTGATTCAGGCCAATGTGTATGATTTCAAGTAGTTCATTGAAACAGTAAAATACAAATGGCAAAGTCAAACAACTTACAGCAACATAATAATTTGTTTATTTAGCTAATATTACAACTGTAACAGGTTAAGAGCTCAAGATTTATATCCTCTTAGGATAATGATCAAGATTTTAACTTTTAAATTTCACTATTCTCAACCACTAAAAATCCATTTTCCAAAGGAATTATATGCTATTGTTCAGGGACATATCTAAACTTTCTAATTTATGAGCAAAAGTATATTTGCTCATTAGGTTAAACAAAACATCAGGGATTTTTAAACTCTCGGTTACTGAATGTTTTTGAAACAAATATTCACAGAACAACTTTTCTTCCATAATGATTCCAAACATTATGCATCATGTCAGTGAGAAAACCTGAGAACTCCAGATTTAGTATCTAACCATTGTTACAATACACTCTGGCTTATTTAGACAATGAACCAACAAACATGTATTTTGTACCTACTATGTACAAGCCATACTAAAGCATACTAAAGCAATACAGTAAAATTATTGGTCTTTGTCCTGCTTAGGCCTCCAATGTAGTTGGTAAGAGTAAACACACATACAAATTAACTCTACTTCAAAAGTCCTCAAAAGAAGTGACAGTGTTACTAGATTTTTGTGTTAAGATCACCTAGGCTAGAGTCCAGAGGAAGCAGGAACATAAGCAGGCAAATTCTTAGCACTTACTAAAGTCTTTCTGAACCACCTTTCTCAGTCCCAGATTTAAGCAATGCTTCAAACCCTTTCTCTGAAAGTGTTCCAGCCGGTCCCACACCTGTCATTGTTAGTGACTGTCACTATATATAGTGACTATATATATATTCAAATTATACATGAATTGATGTTGAAAGCTAACAATCCATGACTTTCTGCTCTGCATGGGCAAGTTGCAAGTTTAACCTACTTTTTTTTTTTAAATTTATTACAAGACAGTAGATTACATAAGAAAAGTCTGAAAAAAATCTGCAAATTTCACAAGACACAAGCAATCATAGAAAAGCTAGAGGAAAGGATAAGAAAAAAGGTCTCATCAAAGAGAAGACGTTTGGGGGGACTTTATGGAGAGAGCTTGCCCCTCTGCCACCCCCACCCCACCCCACCCCACCCCACCCCACTCCCAGCATCCTGAAGTAAAGGCCCTGGGTGAGGCAAAGAGAGAAAAGGAAAACAGGAACAGTTTCAAACACCACAAATAAATATGTCAAACAAGAAAATAACTTAATAGGCACCGCTTGGAAGGCAGCAACCCACAGGGCCTGGTAGGCCGCCCTCTCTAGCCTGCAGGCGGTGTCCATGGGTCCTGGAGGACCAAGACTCCAGAGGCGCCTCGCTAGCCCCAGCCTCTGCGTCGTCGGGTCTTCAAGATCCACGGGAGCTTGAAACCGCGTTGATGATTACTCTCAGATCCACATCTCCGGACGTCTGGGCTAGGAAGAAAGCCTCAGTAGCGGCAGAGTAGCTGGGGGGGAGGAGGAGGGAACTCCCCGTCCAGCCAAATGCAGACCAGCATTCTTGGAGAGCCCAGTGCTTGGTCTTAGGAAACAAGAGCGCTGGTTCTAGACCTAGAGAGTGGCTTCCTTTACAACCCACAACTCCAACCCCTTAATTTTCTTTTCTTTCTTTCTTTTTTTTTTTTTTTGGTCGCTTGTTCTCAGCTCCTTTTTGCTCCAGAGGGGGACTTGGATGGGGACTGCAAAACGTCCCCTAGGGTTAGAAGCGCAGGACCGTTTTAACTAAGCACCTGGCTCCGCTCTGGGTGAATTGAGTATAGAGAAAAAGGGTTCAGGCAAGGGCGCATCTTCACGAAAGAGTAGGAGAAAAGACCGCTGTCTAGTTCTTACTTCAGCCTAACTTTCCTTTAAGTCAGGGCTGCGCAAGGGAGGAAGGGTAGCTTCTCTAGGGCGCACCAGGCAGAACCAAATGGGGGTGGGGGCGGAGGCGGCAGGGCGCAGCTATCCTTCAGCTAGAGACTCGCTCCTGGGGAAACCCTCAGAGGTTAGGTGGCTCAGCTTAAACAGATACACTTGGAGACGTTAAGGGGATTAAGTGATGATGCTAGCGAGTTTCCTGATTTACGCGGGCGGGGGACGGGGGGCGGTGGCGGGGCAGGGTGGGAAGACAATAAAATTCCAAGTTATAGTTGGGAGCATAGAACGGTGCAAAAGTGCAAGCACAGTGGAGGAAGGAGCCAAAGTAAGAAATAAGAGAAGGCTCCACGAGCCGCCCAGCTTTGGAGCAAAGCGTTCAAATCCACCTTGGTCGCGCCTTTTCCGGGCTTCTCTACCCCAAACGTTTGATTTTGCTAACCCCATTTTGGCCCGCCAAACCCTGACATCCCGGACACTTTCACCTCTCTCACGCGTCCCGCCTTTCTCCCAACTCCCTCCGCGCTGGGAGAGAGCAGGGCGCCGACTCAGAGGGTGGTGATTCGGGACGTGCAGGTGCCGTTACGGAAGACGCCGCCCGACTCCAGGTTCTCGGGCTGGAAGTCCTCCACGCTGTAAGCGCGGCTCTTGAGGGCGGTGGCGTAGTAGTCGACCGGCTCCTCCGCAGCAGTGTCCATCCAACTGAGGCACAGAATGCGCTGGAAAGAGCGCTTGAAGTTGTCCGAGAGGAAGCCGTAGAGGATGGGGTTGGCGCAGCTGTTGGCATAGCCGAGGATAACTGACAGCTGGCTCACGGTGGCGTCGTCCTGCTCTGCGAACACGTTGACCAGCTGCACCACATAGAAAGGCATCCAGCAGATGACAAACACCATCACCACCATCATCACCATCAGGGTGATCTTGCGCTCCGAGCGCTTGCGCTGCTGCCAGCCGGCCTTGAGGGCCACCATGCGCATTTTGGCGATGATGAGCACGTAGCACAGGCAGATGGCTCCGACGGGCAGGAGGAAGCCCATGAGAAATGTATACAGCACGAAGCCCACCAGCCAGCGCTGGGCAGGCTCAGGCATGAGCATGTTGCAGGCCACCGTGCCATCGCTGTTGGCCGCCGTGCGCGAGAACACCACGATGGGCAGAATGACCAGCAGCGAAAGCACCCACACGCCCAGATTCACCACCTTGGCTACAGTGGGCCGGCGGTAGCGTGCTGCCTTGATGGGGTGCACCACGGCCACATAGCGGTCCACACTGAGCACAGTCAGACAGTAGATGCTGGTGAACATATTGACTGCGTCCACGCTGAGCACGAGGCGGCAGAGCAGTGAGCCAAAGGGCCAGTGGCGAAGCAACGTGGAGGTGACCAGGAAGGGTACGCTGAGCATGAGCAGCTCGTCCGCGATGGCCAGGTTGAGGATGTAGATGTTCGTGGCCGTCTTCATCTTGGCATAGCGCAGGATCACATAGATGACCATGGAATTCCCACACAGTCCCACCAGGCACACCACCGAGTAGATGAAAGAGATGAGGATGGCGCTGCCTTGGCCCTCGCTCAAGGTCCCGTTCTGGGACGCATTTCGTCCAGGCTCCTCCATGCCGTCCGCAGCGCCGGCCCCTGGGCCCCTGCTGCCGCCGTCTTCGCCGCAGCTGCCCGGGCTGGGGCTAGGAGAGGAGGAAGGAGAGGAGGCGGTGCCGTTGGGGAACATCTCAGCTGATGGGGCCGGCGGGGCTGCCGGGACTGGGGCGCTCTCCTATCTCCCGCTTTGCCTGAGCCCTCCCTCTGAACCCCGGCCGCCTGCCCGCAGCTCACTGCCGCGGGGTGCCGAGGGGTGGCGCGCAGCCGCGACGGGGAGCTTGGCTAGCAACGGCGCCGGCGGGGCGCATTGCCCAGAGGCTGCCTGCGCGCTGCCGCTAGCCGCTCCCGGGCCCCTGAGCACAGGCGAGCGTGAAGAGGGGAGGTAGAGAGGCTGGAGCCCAGCGCCGCACAGCCAGTAACTGGCGCGGCTCTGGGCTGCTGATTGATTAATAGGCACCGCCAGCGCGTCAGCAGCTACGAAAAGGGAGGAGGAGGGGAGAAAAAGAGGGAGGATGGCGATATAGGTGGCTTATAACCCCTCTCCCTAGTTTTTCCCTCTTCCAGTTCTGCTCTCCCAACAGCTCTCACAGCTGCTTCAGGCGTTCCTCAACAGCACCCATCTCTCGGAGGGACCCGGGGAGTTTCTCCGCCCCCTGTCCCCCAAGACGGGTGGCAACCAAAGGTGCAGATTTTGACCCCTCCCATGAGGCTTCTATCCAAAGACTGAAGCAGACCCCAGGCACAGATGTCCAGAGAGTTCATCTCAATTTCCTTTACTTCCCGCACCTCCGAACCCCAACTCTCCTTCCATCCCACAGCCCCGGGTCCCCTAACCCCCACCTCTGTTTCCTACTTGCCCTGCCCCTGAGACCCGCCGCGGAAGCTCTCAGACGTTCTTACCCAGGGCGCACTACCTCCGGACCCGCGCGAGATGACCCGTGCAAAGTGCTTTTGCGGTCTGCTAGCGCGGTGACGTTCTTCACGCAGCCCAACTCGGTTCTTCGCGACCCCAGCGCAGACGCCCACGCAGATATTCTTGGAGTCGCTGAAACTGACCCTAAACCGCAAGCTTTAAGAGGAGAAAGGATCACAGCAGTGTAGGGGCTCCTGCCTTACAACACCGCAGGCAGATTTTCGCCCGCGGGAGTGTTCAGGCGCCTCAGCAAACCACTGAGAATGTTTCAATAGAGCTTGTAGAGCTTAGAGCCCCCCTGCTTCTCCAGAGGAACATGGGCTGCAAAAAGCAGGGCGCGCAGCTGGAAACACGGGAGGAGCCTGAGGCTCCCTCCAGAACGTGCGGAGCGCGGTATTGGAAATCCATCTAGGTGTTCACTGGGAACAGATAAGGCTGCGCGGCTCAGAAAAGCTCCGCCCGTCCCTGCTGGACTTTGTACCCTGGAGAGTTTGAGGCCCCGGGGGAGGGGAGTGCAAAGACCGGGCGAATGATGCCAGCTCCTCCAAACCAACTATACGCAGGGCAGGTGACCAGACCCGTCAGCTACTCAAGAAACGACAGGACAACCTGCTAGTCTTTCCGTGAAATACTAGGATTTCAACATTTTCTGGGGTCTCTGGACGTGTGATCCAGCTCTAATTCACGTGCCTTAAACTTTAAGGCACAGAAATCGACGTAGGCATGCCTATAGCTCGCTGACTTCATTTAAGATTTCAGCGGTTTCTGTGAAGTAAAAAGGTGGGAGGCAGGAAGGGGAAGAAATAATACTTTCTGCCAATTACCGTGATTTTTAAAGGACTTCTGGGAATTCCAGCCATGCTAACCTAGACTCCTTTTGGCTTTCCCGAATGTTCCAGTTGAAGGAAGAATCTCTAAATTAGCTTCCCTGTCCTTGGTGGAGACCCCTCCCATTGTGCAGATTTCCAGAAAGATTGACCAGCAGCAGCCTAGTAGTGCTGGGCCTCTTGGGATCTTTCTTTCTTCTCCAATTTCACGAGTTGCTCCTTCCTTCCAACCAGGTGGTATCCACTGCAGTGTGAGTCTCAGTTTTAGTTTTCAAAGTTAAATCCTCCTAACAGAGAAAGAATAACTCTTGAATGTGTTGATTATAACAGTCAGAGGTAAAATTAATGACTACAGATCTCAAAGGAATGCATGGAAGAGGACACTGAATTATTAATGAAAAAGGTACAAGGAGAAGCTTGCTTATCTAAGCAGATTTATCTAAAGTGGGGTGTAGAGTTGGAGATTATTTGTATTTGATTTTTCTTAAAAAGCAGATTTATCTAAAGTGGGATATAGAGTTGGTGATTATTTGTATTTGATTTTCCTTAAAAAGTACTGCATACATGGTGGAAAAAAAGTCTGTCAGGTTTTTAAAAAAGTGGATGTTGTCCTGGAAGAACTTTCTAACAGTCAAGTCTCATAATGGCGTGGATGTCTCTTAGCCAGTCTTTTCTTCAGGGGCCTGACATGACACTGCAAGTCATCAGATTGGTGGTGATCATGGCTGTCCCAGGGAAGTGGGTGATGGGATTGCAGAAAACACAATTATGTTGTCCAGAATCTCATATGTGCACTTTGCAACTCATCTTAGGGAAATCTTTCAGTTTAATGGTAACCTGATACGTAATAGATGAAAACTTAAGACCTGGCATAGCATGTACTTTTTGTTTGTGAAGTTGTTTTACTGATCAATTATTTATCCATAAAAAAGAGATTGACAACATGATGCCACTTTACATCCACTAGGATGGCCATAATATTTTTTCAGAGGAAAATAACAAATGTTGGTAAGCATACAGAAAAATTGAAAATTTAATTTGGTACAGTGGGAATGAAAAATAATGCAGAATGTTTACAATGTTTGCTGATTCCTCAAAAAGATAAGCAAAGAATTGTTTTACGACCAACAATTCCACTCCTATTCACTCCCTAAAATTTAAACAGAAATTTTGATTTTAATAGTGTTTGAACAGAAGCTTGTAAATAAATGCTTATAGAATCACTATTCAGAATAGTGCAGAATAGTCAAACAATTCAAATATATACCAAGTGATGAATGGATGATATAACTGTGGTATGTCCACATAGTGGAATATTACTCACCCATAAAAACAACAAAATACTGATACATGCTACACCATAGATGAACTTTGAAAGTATTATACAAGTTATAAAATAAAATAATTCATAAATAAACATGTCACCTGATTCCACTATCCTGAAATGTCCAGAACGGTGCATCTATAAAGACAAAGCAAATTAAAGGCTACCAAGAGCTGAAGGTGAGGAGGAATAGAGACTGACTGCATAATAGGCTTGGTTTTGGGGAATGAAAATGTTCTGGAAGTAGACAATGGTGGTGGTAGCACAGCATTATGAATGTATTAAAGTCCAGTAAATTGTATACCTTACAATGGTTAAAATGATGAATTTCATGTTGTGTGAATTTTACTTTAGAAGAAAGAGATATTGGAATAGATAGACGCCATATTGGAATAGATAGATTTGTCATCAAATCTTGTATTCCTTAACATTGTATCTGTGAACTAACATGAACAAACAAACCAAACAAGCAGAAGGCAACATTTCTGAGCTAAAGTAACATATGATTGTGCTTGTTGTCATTTTAAAAGTATAGTAAGAGCAGGATGGCCAAGTGGGGGGAATAAGAAATCCTCATTTAGGAAGTGCAGATTCTGAAGCAGGGTGATTTCCTTCCCCCATGACATTTCTCTCCTCCATTTCTGGCACACACCAGGTGCACACTTGGGTTAGTGTATATTTCACACTATGCTGTGACTTTTGTATGTGTGCTTGTTTGTCTCCCATTTACATCTGCAAGCTTGTTGAGAATGAGTTCTATATTTTATTTATTTTTATATCCCCAGCACAGTACTTCAAAATTTACCCAACACTTCTTTATTTATCCAAGGCATCCCATGGAGAGTAACATTCTTCCTAACCTATAAGATGTAGATGCAAATAAATGAAATTTGTGTCTTTTGCAAAAAGAGTTTTAATGTCAGTATGATAGCATCATCTGTAATAATTCCTTACACATTTAAATCATTCTGAATAAGTTCAATTTGCATGTCCTATATCAACAATTAATATGCTGATGACTCATTCATTGATCATTCTTGGTTTTAAATTTCTTGGCAGAGAAATGCTCTGCAAAATGGGCAGTACATACTTTAGTAGCTAATGATGGTTATTTAATAGTGTCATGCAGTGTGAAAGCCATTATACGTGGAAGATCGTTTCTTTTTAATTGCAGTACTGAGTCTCCGTTGGTTTGGTGGAATAGTAATTATCGGGAGCTCAAACTCTGCTCTGTCAAAATTGTTACCAATGTAGTTTTTCCAATTGGAGCCTATGGTGATCCTCAAATGAGTTCCTCTGATCCTTGCCAGTAAAATGGGGCTGCTGAGGCCAGGGATTAAAGAGAGCATTTCCTGGAACATACTCTGTGCTGGGATCAACAGAATTGTGTTTATAAATACCTGTCTGAGCAGGTGACACCTAGCTGGGTTTAAGGGGCAAGTGCCATCCAGCAAAATGGCCCACAGCAGAGGTATGTGTCACTTATGGGCCATCTGCCACTAAGCAGTTAACATGATGACAGTCTAATAAGGAAGTTCCCAGAGTATTAAAGTAGCCATCAGGCTAAAGAACAATCCTGGATCTCAATTCCCAGGGATGACACATCACTTCACAGCAGCCCCGGTGGCCTGTGGTTCAGTTCATCACCAATCTCAGCAAACTAACCCCGGCCTGCTGGTTTTCCTATTGCCTCTTCTGTGAAACAGCACGACAGAGTCTTTTTGTGCTTTCAAAAAAGACACACAGGGCGCAATGGCTCACATTTCCCCCTATGATTCCTCTACTATTAAATAATATTTCTAAGAGCAAGGATTGAACACATTATTAATAATGGATGAATGAAAATAGAACAAAGGTAGCCACGTTATCTGTATTATTTGGCATAGTACTCACTAGCAATATACTTTTCTGTAATGTATTCTCCATAAGTCAAGAATTTGAAGACAGATTGAATGAATTTCAAACAATTTTGCAAAATCTTTTTTTTGGGGGGCATTTTTCTTTATACAGACACTTCCAAAATTACTTCTAAAGTCACCAAACTGCATTTTAGTTTCTTTTGACAC